GAATAATTTTCAGATTATAAATCTTGTTGTAAAAATTTAAACCCATAGACAGATTCAATTTTAAGCAACAAGATTCAATACTTCTTCCAAAAATTCTGGTTTCATATGTTATTTTTTACGAAATCAGACCTTAGATGACATAAAAACACAAAGAACACTCTCAAAGAATGCTTCTAAAACACAAACTTGTTCCGGAACTTGGACAGTATTGAAACCAAACATGTTTAGAAAGTTACATCATGAAAAGTCAATAATGCTTATCCATTGCCAGTACAAGGCAGTAAACGCATAAACCCATATTAAAATTGAAAACAAACTTTGGTTTTGAATAGCCATCACAGGTTCAGAACTAAGAAAAAATCAATTGGAAATATGTTCCATATAACTGAAGGAAACAAAACAACACAAATTTGAGAAAGGAACAAGGGGATTAAGAATTCAAAACAAATTCTACTTTGACAAAACAGAAGAAAAAAAACAGAGAAAGGGAAGGGTTTCAGATGCAAGATCCGAACCCCCCCCCCCCCCCCGGGGTTATTACCCTATGCGTTGAGCTCGAGTTCTTGCTCTCGATATGTGGTGGTGATGTTCTTCGCAGCGCCTCTGTGGTTTTATAGGCATAAGATCGGCTACTCCATCTTGGATTGGGATTCTTCGCTCCGGGATTTGCGCTGCTCCGTTTCTTCTCTCGCCTCTTTTGATGGAGATGAAAAAGATAATGAGTAGGAGAAGGAGTTCTCCTTGTGTGAACAACAAATCAGATAGGGCGCAGCTTCTCTGGTTTCTTTCGTGTGTGCAGCGGAGGATTGGGCCTGGACTGTTTCTTTATCATCATATGTTGGGGTAGAGCCCAACGGGATCACTTTTACGTTTTCAGCCCGCATTTTATGCTCCAAAGATATATCTAATAACCTTTGTCAAGGAGAATATGGGTCCACAACAATAATATTCAAAAATAAACTAAAAAGTGTGCATTATGAACATATTTTATAAACGATGCGTAGAATGCAAATATGATCATTTGAGTGTAAAAATGCACTTTTTTAATGCCCAAAAATATTGATTTAATAGAGAATAATTAGTGAATATTTTGGACTCAACACAAAGAGTAGTTTAAGAGTTTGGTTATGATTTGGCCTTAGACTAAGAATAGCTAAGAGCGTGGTCATGATTTGGCCTTAGACTAAGAATAGTTTAAGAGCGTTGTTATGATTTAGCCTTAGACTAAGAATGGCTAAGAGCGTTGTTATAATATGGACTTAAACTAAGAATGGCTGAGAGCATAATTATGGTTTGATCTTAGACTAAGAATAGTTAAGAGCGTTGTTATCATTGGTCTTAGATTAAGAATAATTTAAGAGCACTGTCAAAATAATGAATATTGAATAACTGAATTAAATAACATGTATTGATATGAACTAAACATTATCAAAATCATGAATGATGAATATTTGAATTAAACATTATGTGCATAATATTAAATGATTTGATTATGAATTGAAATTCAATTTATATGGATGTTCGACGCATTAGATATCCTTACTCAGCTTTAGCGCTAAACGTGTAGTATGCTTTATTTGCTACACGCAGATAAATAGAAAGAATGATGTGATATGATCCTGGAGGCAGGCAGAGGCGAGATTGTCAAAACGGATGTGATTGTTTTGAATTGAAGGACATAAATAAATTATGTTTCGTGATTGTGATTTCTTAACCTTCCGCAACAATGAAAACTCTGTATTGTTTATGTTATGAAAATACTATTGTGATAAATAAAATGTATGAAATGTTTTAAATTTTACGATTACCAAGTTTATATTTTAATGCGAAAGGGGATGCAGACCTGGACGGGTTAGGGTTACAATCCTTTTCAAAGGTTTCTGTTGGCAGAGTAGGTTTTGTTGTGCAGAATATTTCCTCGTCTATAGAGTCCGTTGCAATCTCAGGGGTAGGTAGTGGGCTCTATTTCCTCCAAGACAGGTTCCCCTAGAGGTGTGTCTTCAATACAATTAAACAGAGTGTTGTTTATTGCCACAAGAACAACTTCTTTTTCCCTCTTTTCTGAGTCAGGTCCCTTAGTTGGTCCACCTCATGTATGGATTAGCTTGGAGGGTATTCAAGTAACATCACCACAGTAGCCCTAGCGAGCATTTGAAGAGTCGTGCTACACTTGGGTTTCTGTGATGGTGTCGGTTTTGGTGAATCTTTGAGAATAGGTTTGGAATTTACTTCTTGAGCTGCTTGATGTGGATTCAACATTCTCCATTGCTCCATCTCTTCTTGGGCTCAGAGGTTAGATTTCTCTTTTGCTTCTATGAATTCGAGTTTGTTTGAGTGGAGACTGATATGAAGATCCATGTGTCTTCTCCAA